CATGTAAGAATGCCCTCTTCTCTCTCCACCGTCTCAAATTTACTTCTATTATACCTTTATTTTTACATTCTCAAGGTCCATTTCACTTAAAACATTCTTAATTATCATGTTTTATCTACCAACTGATTCTAAAAGCTGAAAACCAAAACACAGTGTATATAATACTAAAAAGTAAATGGGGCCCAAATCATTAAAGAGTTAAAACCCACTTCTGAATGTTCTAACTTTAAAGAAAGAAAATTTAATAGTGCACTATAAAAATTGTGAGGGGGAGAAAAGACATTTTAAAAACACATCTCTATCCAGATGAGTTCCATGTGAAATTTTTTAAGTGGTATGTACTCATCTGAGAGTACAAATGACACACAACTTGTGTAAGATATTTTATATATTTATATTCATTATTTGAATCTGGCTGCTGCATTGCATTAGGACAAGGACCATGTGGCCCGTGATAATAATAGGCTGGTGAAAATCTCCTCTCCATGGAATCCTGACAGGGTTTTCCTTCCTTCAGGGAAATGAGTTTCTTCAAACAAGATAACAAAGTTTAAAAGATGGCACTCAATCACACCTGACAGTATGTTAGAAAATTCTGTACATTTGGCTTCAGAAAGAGTGTAACAGACCCTTGACATATCCAGGCAGAAGTCCTGAGATCTTTGCCAAATTCAAAAATACTCCCCTTAAGTTTATATAGGTTCCAGGTTCCACCCCCCACCCAGCCACTCCCAAAAAATGATATTTTCACCTTGTGTCAAAGTATCTTATCCATACTCTCACACCCAGGTTATTCATGTTTTTCGTAGCTTCGTCTAATGGGCTTTGTGTTTGTTTGCTAGAGCATCCAATAGGTGCTGCACACGGTAGCTCCAACATCAGAAATGCACTGTCTCACAGTTGAGGAGGCTGGAGGTCTAGGATGTCAGCGTGGTTCGTTCTTTCTGAGGACTGAGAACCTGTTCCAAGCCTCTCAACTGGCTTCTGGTACTTTGCTGGCTGCATCTTTGGTGTTCCTTAACCTAGAAAAACATTACCCCAATCTCTGGCTTCATTTCACACGGTATTCTCCTTGTGTGTGGTCTGCCTGTGTCCAATTTCCCCTTTTTATAAGGACACTTGTATCAAATTAGGACACATCCTAATGACCTTATCTTCATTAATGATATCTGTAATGACCCCATTTATAAATAACATGAGGTACTGAGGCTCAGGACTTCGATATATGAATTTTGGGGAAACACAATTCAACCCATAGCAACCATTTTTCACATGATAAAAAATTTGGAACAAGGGGTGTAGCTCAATGGTCAAGCATTTCTAAGCATTCAGCAAGTCCCTTCGTTCATCTTCAGGACCACAAAAAGAAAAAAGAAATTGTGATGGCTCCCAAGCACTACAACCATGTTTACATAACTTCTAAATTTTCTGTGCCTAAAAGAGAAGCTGGCGCACAGGTGTTCAATAAGTATTTACTGAATGAGTGATTGAGTGAATGAGGCCGCAAGGAAGGGAAAAAACTGCATGTTGAGAGGCTGGCTAGACTCATTAGCAGAGTCTTACCTCCCTGTATGAAATTGAGCAGGAATTAAGACTATTCCCCAGCAAAATTACTTAATATTATATACTTCCCAGGCCTCCAAAAGTCACTCACAAGTAGTAAAAAAATCACAAATATTAAAAGCCATAAATGTCAAAATCCACAAAAACTTGTAGCTACCATACATACATTTAAATAATGATTCCTTTCTTAAGGGAAAAATTAGAGCATCAGAACTACAATAGCAAATGATTTCAACTTAAACAAGTCAAGGAATAAGTAGATCAAAGGTCACCAAATGAAACATTAGCCATGTACATTATAATATGGCCTATCAGTAATCCATTGCTATAGCACTAAATTGGGGGTGATTCCTGTTCTAATTTTTTTTTTTATTTTAATAAACAAACCTTTTTGAATAAGGAGAACCAAGATGAATTGTCCTCTATAGCAAATTGTATATAATAAGCTATTAGCAATAAAATTTTTCAACATGGCACCTCAATAGATAATACCTACATAACAAGGAACTGAAGGTATTCTTCCCTATTTCTCCTAATCATCTCATTCAAATCTTATCACCATGAATTTCCTGGGTACTTGGCTTTAAAATATCATGACTATAAACTTTAAATCCAAGCCGTGGGTAGGTCTATATTCATTTCAGCAGCAGCATCTTGAAATGTTGAATTATCATCTTCAATTTCCTCCAGTCATTTATTGTAGCTGCCAAACTGAAATGGTGTACCTTAAAGGCAACACTAAACTGAAAAGCAAATAATAAGAGTCTTTTAAATGTTTCATTTATAAAAGCTTATTTTTCTACCATCAAATTTGGTATACTGTCTGAAATAAATCACTGTGAAATTGACATCTTGCATGTAGCTATTCTGCCATGATACATTTGCTAAACGTCTAGGTTTATTGGAAGAAGGGGGAGTAAAATCCAGCATCTTCTTTCTACTTTTTAAGACCAGAGCAGGTTAGTTTTTAATCTTGATGGGAGGAGGGTGGAAGTAAAAATTGAAGTTTCAATTGCCAATAGCTACCACTATAGCTTTCCCTTTTCTGGATAGTTTTATAGAAAAATAAGCACTTTAAAAAAGCACATCAAGTCAGAGGATGCTGTTTCAAGGAGTATGCTGTGTTGTTAGCTCCCTTTGATAGGAAAACAAACCTGCAAACAAAAAATGTTCAAAGCATTTTCTTAAAACCCTGTTATTAAGTGATATAATAGCAAATTAATCAAAAAGAACAAATTCATATAATGGACTATATTATAGTCCACTATACTTTTCCCTTAACATGATTGCTAATGACAATTATAAAATGTTAACATATAAATAAAATAGTGTTAATATTTCCAAACTGAAGAATTTTATATTAGAATACAAGAGAAATGTTTACATTAGTAAAATATATTTACATCACATTCATAAAATAGGTTGCTTCCAAGAGCATTCAGTAAAAGAGCCACTGAATTTACCCAAACAAGTTTACTAACTATGCTATAAAAGAAAAAAATGAGACATCTGTGTTTTTTCTTCTTCCCTTTATATACCAAACTTATTCATGAGTCTCAAATTTGAATTTTCTCAGTTCATGTCACTTTGTATAAATTATCAGAAATAAATTTATCAGAATTTTTGATTACATAAAATTATGATTTAACTGTATCATTAACTGAGTCCTCAAGTACCTTTTTTTCCAATGACTCACTTAAGAAAAAGGTATCTACACTCAATATATTGTCCATTTTTAAGCATTTCCTACATTCAAGTCGATTTTAAAAGTCTTATTTAGAAATAATACCCATCCAGATTTAAAAGCTAAGTAGAAAAATTTTTTAATCTGCAGTTTCTTAAAAACCCATCAATTTGACATAACCTCCTAATTCCTGGAATGTAAACCATAATTCAAGCTTCAATTTTTCTCTTAGCATATTCTACTTTGCTGAAATGAATTCCCATCCTGCAACTATGAACAAGAAACTTTTACTTAGAATAATATTAAGAGACAAGATCTCATTGTTCAGGATGAGATTAATAGTCTATAATTCTAAACTTTAAAATATCGATAGTTGTGACCTCTCCAACTTCTCAATTCCCAAAGAGATTAATAAAAGATGTAATTAACATCTAAACTTAAAGTGGATTGTCATTTGGAAGAAACTGTGCTAACAATAACTGCATCATAGTTGAATAGATCAACCCATCACCCTTTATGGTTCTGACTAAGGCTAATGAGCACAATTTGTCATAAATTTTCCAGTAATTCTGAAACACTGAAATAAAAGACTAATTTTCTTATAATACTTTATAAAAATGGGATAAAGGCTGGAGTTGTCTTCTTTGGAACCTAGCTCCTAGCACAGATTCCGGCAATACAAATGTCATTAAGTATGTTTGTGGAAGGAATAAACAAACAACGAGTGAATACATAACCAACGCACTACCATCAATTAGTCCCTTGTTATAAATAAATTTAAATTTAAATTACATTTAATAAAATGGAATATGCTCAAGCTATTTTTATTCCTATTAATAAGCACTAAAATAATTATTTACTTAAGAATCTCCAACCTAACAAAATGTAGAGTTGGACTTTCACAAACCAATAATTTGGCTAATGATTTTCTACCATTTTATGACATTTTCCACTTAAAACATTTTCTAAGAAAGTTTAAATTACACAGAAATTCCAAGTTATAAGTTTCTTTGCAATAAACCATATACATACTACATTTGATCTTAACACCTGTTTTTCTCATGAAGTTACTTATAAAAGCAGCTAGAAATTTGAGAGTGAAGGTGGCAAGAGTGAAATAACTAAAAATGTTCAAAAATGTTCTTACACTTCAAAAAGTGTCTGCCATCAGAGCCACAAGACTTTCTGCATCCATCAGTGACTTCTTTGTGGATCACAGAAAGAGTTCAACATTCTTCACAAAATCCATTATATTTTAAGACCATTTCCAATATCTGCTACCATAAATCAAGAAATCCATTTATTCAAGATTACTTATAGAGAATTAATCACACAGAAAATTTTAACAACTCCTTTTTTTCAAAAATTAAAGTACTTTACTAGACTTGGCAATCCTGCACATAATGATGTGGACTCAAAGAATGAAAGCATTAAGGGCATATAATTAAAATTCATGGGCGTAGACATTCAAAAGAGGTTTAGTATGTAGAATTCTCTGTAACAAATATATCAGAAAAATAAATCAGAACATGAACATAGTGTAATCTCCTTTGGATTTCTCCTCTGCTTAAGTGCCATTATGTAACAAAGAAAGTTGTTCCAAAACACTTGTATATACTTAATGCTGCCTTAGCCACATGTAATCAAATAATCTGAAATAATTAGATCAGGAGAACCGAAGAATGAATTCTAAAACCTATCTTCCTAATTTGGAGGGCATATTTACTCAAATGAGAAAAATAACCAGGTCGACTACACACCATTGACAACCTTTATTATACAACCATCAGGCCAAAATTCAGCCATCAACATACAACCTTATTTTCCACCTAGAGTTAATTAGAATGTATTTTATTTTAAATGGGACATAGAGGCAACAAGCCAAGAATTAAAGTACGACCTTAGTTTAATTTCACTCTTTGAATATCAAAAAAGCAATAATTCCTAAAATCATGAAAACATGATGAATTAAGAACACACACACACAAAAGTATACCTTTAAGACATTTCATTCTTAATATCATATAATGAAAACAGATGGACTTATAACTTCAGCCTACAGATACATACTTCATAGGTCATTATTCATTTAAAATAGTACAAATGTTTACAAAGAACATTTAACTTAAATTTCACAGTTGCTTATAAAGGGATATTTTCAAGATTGAGCAACATAAAGAAATAAGTATCTCATCAAAAGAGATGGTAAACTTTAAATATAAAATATATATAACAATGTTAAAAACTTCATGGTGCTCTACAGGAAAATCAATAAAGACAACTTAATCTTTTGGGGGATAAATGTATTTAGCATTACAAATTTAAAGTTTAAATTTATATGTGAATTTAAAAAGGAATACATTTAAATCTTACATTGCCACATAATCATGTATTTTGTGAAACAATAAAAATGATGTACTTTTTGTATATGTGTACATCAAAATTAAAAATTTAATTTTTATTTTTTCCTTTATTGGCAACTTTTGATGCATTTTTAGGTTTTGGTTCCCAGAGGGCATTTTTTACAAATCTTGAAGCTGCACCTCTGTCCAGCTTCCCGGCCTTTTTCTTGTCTGTTATTTCCTTGACTCTGTTCATGTATACTCTGATTCTTTCCTTAGAAACAAAAAGAAAAAAAGGCAATGGATTTACTGAGCTGTTCACCACCACCAAGTTTTATCATGCTATACCCTCAGTTAAATTCAACAGATAGGTATTTATTGCCTATTAATGCATGGTGCTAGCAAATGCAAGTGAACAGGATAAACATGCTCCATGCTTTCTGGAGTTCACAGTCTATGAAAAAGACAGACATTAAAAAGTCATATGGGGTAAAAATGGGAGCTCATAACCCACTTGAATCAAAGTGTGAAATATGATATATCAAGAACTATGTAATGTTTTGAACAGCCAACAATAAAAAAAATAAATAAAATTTAAAAATTAAAAAAAAAAAAAAAGTCATTTCAGAAGTGTTCTGAGTGTTTTCAAAGAGAAAGAACCATACACACCACTACTAACACACTGAATTGTTCATATGTAGTTATAAATTTTTCAAATTAGTATTAAATTAAACGTACATAGTAACTGTTTTGTATCTAAAGTCTAAAATCTAAAATCTGAGTTCCCATATATTTGTAACATACAAACGAAATTCTCCTTTGTTTTTTCTAAACAGAAAATAGATGAGGCAGTATTTAGCCATTTATTTTTTATTACTGTCCAGTGTCAATTAAAATAGGAAGAAAGAAAATACGAGCTCTTTTATTCAATTTCATGATTTTGATTGATAAGTGCATGAAATTTTCTAATAAAATATACGGTTCTAATCAGACTTTACAAGGTGAGAAACATAATACGTTACTGGGCCACTTTGAATCTTCTGAGACCATTAATCAGCATAAATGGCTATCCTATACTTCAAATGGAGAAATAAAGTTGATGACAGTCATAAAATAGCATATTAAATGATTGATCACTGCTTCACTAAAATAATCAAAACAGTTACATAAACATACAAAGAAAAATGTAGAACCTTACATTTTTTCGCTGTAAAAGGCTAGAAACTCAGCTCAGAATCCTCTACTAGCTCCCTATTTCTCTGATAAAAGTCACAGTCTTACAATAGTAGACACCAAGGGCAGCATACCCACAACCCAGCCCTGCCTTGGGGCCTTCACCCTGTTTATTCCACCGCCTAAAATGATCTTTCTCAAATATCCACACAGCCACTTCCTCTCTTCTTCTCTGCTCAACTGTTAACCTTGGCAATGAGGCCCTGACTTCTCCATTTAAAACTGTAATCCTACCCAAGAACTCTAAGCCTCCTTTCCCTGCTCATATTTTCCTTTTTTTCCCATAACACATAAAACTTCTTAAGATACTACAGTCATATACATTTATTATTTATTTTATTGTGTTTATTGTTTGTCCCCCTCCATCTCATACAGTATGGTGTCTGCCACATTTCTCAGTTTAGTTCAATGAGGAATCATCTCACTTGGAAATAATGCCTGGCTCCCAGCAGGATTCAAATATGTGTTGAATGAATAAAGTGATTAATTTTCAAACCCTTTCCCCATTTATGATATATACAGCAAAACACTAACTCTGTGATCAGTTAGTAATGTCTGTAACAAGGTCAGAAAAGAGGAATTGGTTTTTGTATGCTTTTTATTTGCCAACTCTGTTCAGAATATTAATGTACTCTCTACACAGTGGTTTCTGAGGCAGAAGACAAATGATCCCATCCTTTTACAAAGAGTACTCTAAATAATTTTGCATTAAAAGGAAAAAAAGATATTTTATAAATGTAAAGTCTGTATTAGAAAGTGGAAAACAGATGATACAACCTATGTTTCTTAAGGTTTAAAACCAGTATCATTGGTCAAACCAAAATCTGCATATTATATTGCTTCTGCTTTAAATATTTTTCACGATTGCTGAATTTTAAGATAAATTTATTTTTACTTCAAGGAATTTAAAAGAAGAAAATGCCTTAGTCCACACATTAAAAAAATGAAGACAAGTCTGGTATACACTTTAAAAAAATAAATAAATAAATGACCAAGTGCTTCACTAAGTTGTAAATAACATACATATCAATTACCATAAGACTTAAGAACAAGAATATAAAGTCAAGTATATTTCATATATATAAATATATATATATATCTACTTTATGTTTTACAAACACAAAAAATAAATTTATTAATATTCTTATTCATAAAGCCAAGTCAAGGTAACCATAAGTCTGATTTCTAATTTTTCCCTTCAAATTGAATGATTTGATTTAATATTTGAAGTCAGCAAAAACTCCAAGATATCAGACCTTATATACTATACTTATACATCTAAATGGAATACAAAGACAAACCTAGAAGATTTATTACAGGTTGTAAATATGTCACTAATGCAGAATTACTGGACAGTACACATACAGCTGGTGCCAAAAAAGCTTTTAGCTTTGTTGCTGAACTGGATTCTTTACTGCTGAGAAAATGAATTAATGGAGGAATTGAAAAGGTGGGGGAGAAACTTTCCCGTCTTTGCTAGTAAATCAACTAGAATATACTTTTAAGAATTGTGTAAGAGTTAAAAAAAAAAAAAAAAGTAGCCCTAGAGATGAACAGGATTTTAAGAATTTATAGGAAAAATAATATGAAAGTTATAAATAATTACTAGAACCCTAACATTTTCCCATCCAGAGATTTATATAATATATGGAACACCAATTCTCTGACAAAGGTAAGAGAAAGAAAAAATAAAGACGTGTAAGATCTGACTCACTATGATAATTTTGACTCTAATTTTGTTCTCCATGATTAGTATGATAAAGATAGTATAACTGAAACTTCAGAAACACAACAATACATATATAAAATGAAAATAAATTAACTGAAAACTTACCAGTTCCTGCTTTACTGGATGTTCCTTAGGATTCACTCCTTGAGTTGCCAAATAAACTATAAGAGAAAGATTTCATGGAATAAATTGGTGTTATGCATTAATAAGAGCACCCCAACTAAAGAAATCCCAATTATTCACAAAAAAAGGACAGCAACTTGGATGGTTGATTAAATTTTAAATTATTCATCCTCTATGTAGTATTAAATTTATGTGTGGCTCATAGAAACCCAGTATTCTGATTTTTAAAAATTAAATCTGACTATTAAAATCACTATACAGTATAAACATATATTTTGCTATCATTTAAAAAATAAATCATCTTTAACACAATATATATTTGCTTTCTAATTAACTCCAATGTAGTATACATACCCCAAAACATTGAATTTAATGTGTACGCAGAAACTAAATCCACTTTCGCTTGTTCAAGCGGGTCCAACTAATAAAAAAGAGAGCAAAAAAAGAAAGAATAAATACACAAACTTTGAATACCATCAGATAACATTTCAAACTTTCACCAAGCACAATATATCAAAGAAATATGCTTTTTTTTTTTACTTCCTATAATGCAATAACCATATGATCTGGACATAATTTACAAAAAGAAATTTTCTTAACCAGTGATTTTTGCCCACAAATTTTCACTTCAGAGTATCATCTTTAGTTAAACAAGGAATGAATATAATCCAAGAAAAATTCTTCTGAATTATTTTAATTTCAGAAGTTATCATCTGGACTTGTATGTCAAAAGCAATTTTTCAATATAAACACTGTACATGGTGCATCTATGTATAAGAAGCAGACTAACATGCTTAAGCAATACCAAAGAGAAGAAACATAATGAGATTTGTTTTAGACTGTCAAAGTCAATTTACTCTTTTTGTCCTACAGAGTTTCCAGAAACCCTGATAACATCATTGTAATACTTAAAAGGTCAAAAATAGAGTCTGTCAAAAAGGATGCTGTAAGTGCTCCTTGTTTTTGAAAACCAAATCAACATGAAAATATAGTTAGGAAGTATTTCCTAAGGCTGGAGTTTTATTGTTCTCCCCCCCCCCCCAAAATACCAAACACTTAAAAAATTGAAATCAAAGGAAAAAGAAGCAAAACTCACTAATCTGTTTGTTGTTTCTTACATATGTTTCATAAGACAAAGTTCTGTCTTATGAAACTCACTTTTAGGAATTACATTCTTAAAATACCTTCTGCAACAACTCATTTCTAGAAACAGACATCATGGTCTTCAGCATCTCATCCACAGCACCAATGGAATTCTCAAACGCTGACAAATACTCATGAATTTCTACCGGATAGTCTTCATTAATTTCTTCATCTGCCATTATGACCAACTGGAAAAAAATTAGTTCTGAGAGTTCATAATGGAAACAGAGCTTGTTCTTTAGTTTGCCAAAAAATAAAAATTTCATTTATTTCAAAAGCACTAAAAGATTAAAAAAAGCAGTTAATTAAACAAATATTCTCAGAATGCAATTCTAGAGCAACTTTATTCCAGCTTCCCTTCTTAAACTGCTTGGGAGGACAAAAAGAAAATAACCCACTTTTGTCCACTAATGCTACACATATCAAATGTTCAATACTTTTAAAAAATTGATTACAGGGGCTGGGGATATGGCTAAAGCGGTAGCGCGCTCGCCTGGCATGCGCGTAGCGCTGGGTTCGATCCTCAGCACCACATAAAATAAAATAAAGATGTTGTGTCTGCCGAAAACTAAAGAAAAATAAATATTAAAAAATTTTCTCTCTCTTTAAAAAAAACTTGATTACAAATATGAGATATCAATAATCAAAATTCTACATTTTAAAAATTTTCTGTTGAAGTTTAGTAAAGACCAAGAAAAGCAATGAAATTTACAAAATACATCTCCTAATGCCTGCTGAAAAAATAAGCAAAGTACTTTTCTTTGAAAAGCTTACATATCTTAGCCTTTCTAAATTTAAGTGGTGATCTAGCAGGATGTTATATTAAACTAAAAAATTAGACATTTTAGGTCTGAAAAACACTGATCATTTATCACCAAAATTATTTCTCAAGCCTATATTTATATTCCTTGAGCTTCTTTAAAATATTAATAAGAAATTCACAAAGTCCATAAATCTCATAAAGTCTATAAGCAGATAATAAACTTGAAGAAAAAATAAACTATATGGTTTTCACTTAGAGTAGAGCATACCCTAACAGTCCATTCTTTGAAAATTCATACTTAAATCACAATAATTAATATTTATGTGAGAAAAAGTGAAATCCACACAATGTATTAAATGAAGTACCTAAGACCAAATTCCAGAAGCAACTCCAAGTCATGTGTAACATCTTTAGGTTACAAAAATTCTTATTACATGGCTAAAGAGAACAGCAATAAAGTGAATAGTAGCAAAGAGCCCAGCAGAATGGAAGTAATGAGACTGGGTTTTCCACCTTGCTTGATCACTGACTTTGTCACCTTAGATAAATCGCTGACTCTCTCTGGGCCTCAAATTCCTCATCCATAAAACAAGGCAGTTGGTCTAATGACCTTTATAAGGCACCTTATAGTTCTAAATGGTATGCTATGTCTTTTAGGTTTCAAAAGTACTACTTGAATATTTAGTCATAATAAATTAACATTTCTTCTCAATGAATATATTCCACCAAGACTTCTGGTTTCATTAAAAAAAAAAAAAAAAAAATGAAATCACCTGTCACTATTTGAGCTGTGAAGTTACTATCCAACTACTGTTCAACCAGCAACTAAACAAATGACTATAATAAAAATAAAACCATACAGCAAAGAACTGTGACTTCTTATCCCAAAAGGTTAAATGAAAATATGCACTGACCTTTCATCCCTCATGAAATCCCTCCAAAATGACAGAAAAAAATTAAAATATATAAAAATAAAAACATTGGAAACTAAGAAGGTCACATACACATCAACAGACCTCAACAGCAGAAATTCTGTAAGCAGAGCAGGTAAGATCAAACTGATAGGAAACAGAGCCAAGGAACTTCTCAAAAAAAATCAGAATGAGAATCTAGGAATAACCCCTAAGGACCATAAGGGCTGAAAACAGCTAAACCAAAGGGTAGCTCCAGCACTCCTCACCTGCATGAAAGTGAAAGTACAGGGATCTACTGCACATGCAGAGAAGACTCATTAGCTACCTTTCCTATCCTCTACTATAACAATGAGGGTCTCCCTCCATTTCCATGCAATTTCCCTTTCTCTCCCTTTCCCTCCCACCTCATGTCTCTGTTTAATGTTAATCTTTTCTTCCTGCTCTTCCTCCCTGCTCTGTTCTTAGTTGCTCTCACTATATCAAAGAAGACATTTGGTATTTGTTTTTTAGGGATTGGCTAGCTTCACTAAGCATAATCTGCTCTAGTGCCATCCATTTCCCTGCAAATTCCATGATTTTGTCATTTTTTAGTGCTGCGTAATACTCCATGGTGTATAAATGCCACATTTTTTTTATCCATTCATCTACTGAAGGGCATCTGGGTTGGTTCCACAGTCTAGCTATTGTGAATTGTGCTGCTATGAACATCGATGTGGCAGTATCCCTGTAGTACGCTCTTTTAAGGTCTTCAGGGAATAGTCCGAGAAGGGCAATAGCTGGGTCAAATGGTGGTTCCATTCCCAGCTTTCCCAGGAACAGTTACTAATAGGGCATTATGTAAAAATGTGGATGTGTAACCGATGTGATTCTGCAATCTGTATTTGGGTTAAAAATGGGAGTTCATAACCCACTTGAATCTAATGTATGAAATATGATATGTCAAGAGCTTTTTTGTAATGTTTTAAACAACCAATAAAAAAATAAAATTAAATTAAAATAAAGACTCATTAGCATTTCCTCTACAATTTGAAACCAATAAATTTGAAAATGTAAATAAAAAGAATGATGTTCTGGAGGGAAAAAAATCAATTACCAAAACCAGAAGAAAGTATTTAGACCATTAACTATAGGGAAAAAAGTACAAAGTAGTGAAAGACCTACTCTCTGGAAAGGCTCCAGACCTAGAGGACCTTTAGGAAGCAATTATTCTTATGGAATTTAACTGTTTAAGAATATAGAAAAGAAATGGAAAATTTAAATGCCTATTTCATAATATCCAAAAAAGAAACTCAAGATGAATTAAAAATGTAAATGTATAACCATATTAGAAGATTATACAAAATATCATATTTGGGAGGCTGAGGCAGGAGAATCACAAATTTTAGGCCAGCCTAGACAACTTAGTAAGACTGTGGCTCAAAATTTTTAAAAAGAAGGAAAATTATTTATATCATCCAAATGAAACTCAAATATTTTAAAAGGAAATGGCTGACAGCCTTAAATACATAAAAACTGAAAGAAAAATAGTCTACATGGTAAAAAGAATACTATAAGCAAAATTAAAAGGCCAAAGACAGCCAGGAGAAAATACTTGCCAAAATATAAAAAAGGATTAGACAGATTATCATCACTTACTAGGTTGGCAATAACTTTAAAAATAAGGAATGTTCAATGCTAGGCAGAATGTAAATTAGTAGAGCATTTTTAGTACACTTGCCCTTTGACTCAGGAAATCCTTTTAAGCATCTCGCCTACAGAAATCCTTATAAATATGTACGTGAATGTATTAAAATCGGCTTCAAACTCTTCTCTGAATTTTTCCCACTCTCTTGCATCAGTTTTTCCCTTTGCTAGATCATTACCCATAAGCTGAAAATATTTTATTTTTCCATCAAAGACAAGAAACACCTTGACTTATGTCTTTCTCTGTCATGGCTTCAATCTTAAATGTCCCCCAAAGGCCTATAGGCTAGAAGGCTTGGACCCGAGCCTATGGCACTTCTGTGAGGTGGTGAAACCTTTAGGAGATAAGGCCTAGTCAGGTCATGAGCATGGCATGCCCTTAAGAGGAGTATTGGGACACCAGCCCCTCCTTCCCTCTCTTCTTGGCCACCATGAAGTGACAACTTTGCTCTGTTACTTCCCACTATAATATTCAGACTCATCACAGGCCCAAAAGCTTTAGAGCAAAGTAACCATGAGCTGAAACTTCTGAAACTGTGAGCCAAAATAAAGGTCTCCTCCTTACAAGTTGATCATCTTCGGTATTTTGTCACAGCTGACTAACACACCCTCTAGCTACAGCCCCATTTCCTTTCTCCCTTTTAGAAAACACTCCTCAAATGGGTTGCTTATGTTAACAGTCTCTTATTTTCTCCTTTCTTTCTCTCATCCCCTCCAAATAGACTCCCTACTTTTTTCCTAGCAATTGCTCTTCAAGGTCACTCGTACTGCCACACTGTTAAACTCAACATCCAACTCTCAGTTCTCATCATTTGACATCATCTCCCTCCACCTGGTTTCTAGAACATCACATTTTCTTGGTTGCTCCTCCACTTCGCTGGCTGGTTATTTGGTCTCTCTAATGCATTCTTCTCTTGCCCTCAGCCTCTTAACCTTGAAGTGCCCAAAGACTGTCCTTGCCTCTTTTCTTCTCTATCAAACTTATTCCTAGGTGAGCTAAGAGATTTAAATTGCATCAATTAACTGAGAACTCCCAGGTTTGTCTCCAGCCCTGATCTTTCCTCAGAACTCTAAATTTACATTTCCAACTGCTTACTTCATTTCTGATTGGATAGCTAATAAATTCTCAATTTTAACAGGCTCAATACCAAATTCATAATCTTGTCTATGACAGTCTTCCCCATCTCATTTCAAGACAATTTTTTCAATTGTTGAGGCCCAACTTTCTAACAGTTTAGACCCAAAATTTCAGAGATCCCTGCTTGTTTATTCTCACCTCATCTTTAACACATATCAAGTCAGAATCAAATCCCTTCCTACCACTGCACTGCTACCACCCTGGTGCAAACCACCCTCATGTCTTACCTGGACTGTTGCAAAAGCCACCTGAATGGCCTCTTTGCAGCTAGGAAAAACAGTCTCTTATCAAGAAAGGAGAGTGACCATTCAAAAGCAGAAAAAGCCACGTCTCTACTCAGAAATTTCCAAAGGCTTGCCACCCCATTCAGAATAAAAGACAAAATACTTACAGTGTAAAAAGAGGTCCAAACACAATGCTCATCTTCTGTGACTTCATCCCCTCCCATTCTCCCCTTGCTCATTTCATTCCAGCCACAACAGCCCCACTGCTCTTCCTCACTTGGCATCAGGAAATGTGTCTACCTCAAGACCTTTGTACTTCTCCCTTTCCTAGAATGCTGCCTTCCTCTCCTCCTCCCTGACCAACAGCTCCAGAGCTCATTACACCACCTTCACCAGACCTCTGCTCAAATGTCACCTAGTGGTGAATCTTTCCTGTCCACCACATTTAAAAATGCACTCCCCTCAC